CTTTAGGGCGGGGCTACACAGTGATTGACAGGTCTCTACCAGAGACGCGTCTCTACGTCATTCCTCCTCAGTCCATATATGGTCACTTCTGTTTATCGGTTGCGAACAAAACAACATGGTAACAGCCGTAATCCAAGATGGCGACTGTATAATTGCCGAACTGGAGGTTTCCAAACATCAGTCCACAAACCAATGAGGTGCCGTCCCCATGACTACATACACAGTCAGTGTTTTAATCAGTGAGCCACAGCGTTGTTCCTTCATTTCCATGAACACACACTGTAGTTTATCTAAAGCCACATTCAGCGATTACTCACTGAACCCACAGAGGAGAATAGTCCCAACAGACGCTCTCTTTACTGCAAGCTGAGCAACGATTCTGGCTGCTTTAAATGATTTATTCTTTTGGTAGGAGCGAGTCTCTGAGTAGAAGTATTGATGAACAAGCTGACACACTCTTGGTTTTGGTCTTTTCATGTGACATTTAGAAAAACTGGAATAATGTGAATCGTATCTTTTAAATCGTGCGTTGTTTGTTTACGAGCCGGTCTGCGCTACATTTCTATGTTGTTTTGCAAAATTGTGAGTATTTATATATATATTCATATAGCAGAAATGATTGGTTTAAAAGCCGAAGACTTTGTCCAAACTGGACTAAACAACCTCCAACTGTTGTGATGACGATGTTGCACCCTTCTCTTACAGATGACAGTTGACTTTCCATCTATGCTGTGAAAAGTGCAACGTTAACTTCAAAGTGTCCCACTTAAAGGGACAGTGTGTAGGATTTAGTGACATCTAGTGGTGACGTTTTAAATTGCAATCGACTGAATACCCCCCCCCGCTGACTCCTCCCTTTCCAAGGCAAAGGCAACCATGGTAACGCCATCTCAGAGGCCATCCATCCCGTAATAACAGGACTTCAGGAGCTCTGGGTTTCACACGTGAATCAGGATCAGGAACAGGAACGGTTTATTTAACGGCGATTGGTGCGTGACAATAAAAATGGTGCAATACAAAAAGATACAATCTAAAAATAGAAAATATGTAAATTAACAATAAAATATGATAAACAAACAAACAAAGAGTATGTTGAAACAAGTATGTTATTAAAGTGTCAAGTGTGTATTTAAAGAGTGTGTCGGAGAAGTACGGTCGCCTTCAGTTAGCGTAGAAACGCAAAAGACTCTGTTTGGTTTGTCCCTTCTGGGCTTCTGTAGCAACATGGTGGATCCATGAGGAGGACCTGCTCCCTCTGCAGATACAAACAACTCATTCTAGATGAATGACAACACAACCATTCTTAGTTTCAAGTGATCATACACTAATGAACACATAGTTATGAATAGTACATTACATTTATGCGTATCGATCCACTGCACTGGCCCTTTAAGGTATTTTCACAATAAAGCAACATTTGTAGAACAAATGAAAGAATCCGGGATTAAAGCGAGACCAGAATTAGAAATATAAAGTTGAATTGTTGAACAATGAAACACAGATTCAGTTGAATACACTCGGTGGTTTTAGTCATATTTGAGTGCTGTTTGTCGACGTTGATTTATTTATCACGTAACTTGCGTACTTCACTAACTCACTGACGTAGTTATTTTGTACCAATCGAGGATCTTTTCCTAAACCTAACTAAGTTGTTTCCTGTGAAGATGGAACTTTATTTTGAAAAGACTTTATTCACGTGAAGGCTTTCGTAGGAAAACACATGAAAAGTGAGGAGTAACTGTTGGTAAGATACATTGTTAAGTGTGTAATGGATCGTCTCAATGTAATAGATCTGGTGTTGGGTTCTTATGGTTAGTATATAAAGTAGTTTTATTCTGAAGATACTTCTCATTTCACACAGGCAGTTATCTGTTCTGCACCTCAGCAGCGTCTCATGTGAGCTTTACTTGTATGTTTATGAATGACAGAGCTGGTGATGCTCAGACACAGTAACTGAAGCCGTCCGCGTCCTTTATCTCCGGAATAAAAGGCCTTTGAGATTGAAGAGCAAACTCTGACCACAGAGTCGCTTTCCTCGTGTTGGAACACGGAGAGAACATAAAGATCTCACCTCCTTTCACTTCGTTGCTCCTCTGCTCCTCTGTGTCCAAACACGCTGCTGTTGCATGAATGACACTGTGAGAAACAGCCGTGTGATGCTCAGCGCTCAGCGCTTTATTCTGAAGGGACTTTGTGTCTTTGGGTCAAACTGTTCACAGATGACGAAGAACTCACAAGCACAGAAACAACCACGCTTTAATAATCGTGATGCTTCAGCAAACTGTGAAGAAATATGAAATATTAATACAAAAACAAAAACAGGGTTCTTTAAAACATAAAGTCCTTAAGTTCAAACACCAGAACATGATAGATATGAAGTATATAAAGCAACAAGAGAGGAACATGAAACTGTTTACATAATACGGGAATATTCTCACCAACAATAAGTGCATGTGTGCAGAATGTTTACATAAGAAGGAAGAACTCTTCTGTGAAATAATGTGGATAGGTCCTTCATCATTACCCTCCTCCTCCTTGTCCACACACACACACACACACACACACACACATGGCCTGACTGTCTGAGCCGGAGCGAGCTGCTTTCCATACGCAGCCTTCAGAGATGCACTGAGCCGTCCCTCGGCCACATGAGGAAGTCTTGGCGCTCGCAAATCACATTCAAATTCAACCCTCAGAATTTGTTTGCCACCCGGCCAACGCGGGCTTAATATCAACTCTTTCATGTTAGCAGTATGCAAACAAGAGTCTGTGTGTCCCGGCACCGCTCTGCCTTCTCAAAGAGAAACACACGGATGCACAAGCTGATGCATCAATCGTTATATATCAAATATATTTTAGATAAGAGGAGATGCAGCACAGACTAACAGACTAGTGGCTTGTAACTCATATTGAGCTGCCTGACCTTCCAAACATATGGAGGCAGGAACCATCATCAGCCTGAACCTTCAAACACCATCTGATATTAAAGGAGTCCTCGTGTCTGATGAAACTGTAGAGGAACAGTGTGTTTGATTTAAGGGCAGAATAATTACATTTACAATGTTTTCATTGGTTTATAATGATCTGAAACTAAAGCAGATATTTTATTCTACGTTTTAAAATAAAGTCCTGTCCACCCAGCCTTTGTTTTACTAAATATCTCCGTTAAAACGTAGAGGACAATATCCACTTTAGAAAATACCTGTAGAGGTGAAGACGGAAGATAAGAATAGTTTGTTCTTGGCTAGCTTGGAGTGAGTCCTTCATATCTACGCTGGGAGCAGGTCTTCTTCACGGAGTCCACCATGTTGCTCCGTCATGTTTCTACAGAAGCTCAGAAGGGTCAAACCAAACATTGGCTCCAGACTGAGACTTTGACATTTTACGTTACCTGAAGGCCACCGTAGTTCTCTGACAAAGCTGGCGACAGTGCGGCAGGGTGAGCCTCAGAGTTTAAACTGTGACCTCCTTTGTTATTATGGGATGGATGCCCTCTGAACGAGGAGTGTTCAGTTTGGGTGCAATCTGCAACTTCACCACTAGATGTCCTCAGATCCTCCACTCTGCTCCTTTAAACACAATACAAACCGTCTTAATGCTGCAGATCTTTGTCTGCACAGGTTGACGTTGTCGTGACAGGATTTTGGGCTTTTAGCACATTTCTCTGTCGTCCACCTGATATCTGCAAATAAGAAACAGATGTCAGACTGAATTAGGCGAAAATATGAATGAAATGACAAGACAGCTGAAATATGTCTTCTTGATGGAATGAAAAAATATTGTTCTCTTTTGTTTTATATGACCTGTGTGTCTGTTTCACTCCCTTCTTCTTCTTCTTCTTCTTCTAATATTTCTGTCGCTCCATTTCAAATGCCGTCCAGTTTAAAGTCTCGTCTCTGTGTCACAGGGAGGATCGCCCACTCCACCCTCGTTCGTCCAGATGTCAGGTGAGCTTCAAACACTAGCACGTGCTCCATCAGCACTTTCAGCATCGCTATCATTAATACCAGAGCATCCAAGTTTGACTTTTGACGGAGTCGTCAGCAAATTTGCAAGAATGTGAGGAGTGAAAAGTCACCGAGGTTTTCATCTCTTCCTCTTCTAAGTTGCTTCAGACCGGCTGTCATGTGATGTCGTCTTTTTACTGATTTATTTTATTATTGATATTATTAGTTTTATTTCTTCCTTAGTTTGACTTGCTTTTGTCGGCCCACTTTCTAAACTGTTTTTAAGATGCTATACATAACATAATTATATTTATTCATTATTATATCATATTTATTATTATATTAAACTATAGTTCTTGTGTTGATTGTTTCATGTATTGTGCTGTTTGATGAGTGTTCTGATGGACCTCACTGTTGAGCTTTCTGTTCTTTTATTGCTTTTCTTTGTTTCGTCTCTCAAAGCACTTTGTAAACTCTGTTTGTAAAAGTGCCGTGTATAAATAAAGTTATTATTATTATTATTGGCCTTCATGTCTTCATATTGTTCTCTGCAGGGTCTCACATGCTGCCCAGCTACTACGGCATGAGGCGTCCCTTCATCTCGGACTCAGACTTCTGCCCGTCCACCAAGCAGTTCTCCCCTGACGTCTACTCGCCCTCGATGGGCGGTAAACCTCTGGGCTGCGAGCCGTCCTCCATGACCAGCTACTCCTCCTTCATCGACAGCTACTACCCAGAGACCTTCGGCGATTACCGCAGCGCCGCCTTCTCCAGCTCCGGAGGATCCTTCCTGCCGTCGTCGGCCCTCTCGTCCCTGCTGCCGCCCTACGGGGGAGAGTCCTCGCATCTATTTCTGGTAAGATGGAGTCCCTCTGTGTGGAGGTTCATCATAGTCATGAATCCAGAAACCCTTTAAACCTAATGCATGAAAAGTGAAGTCAAAGCTTCATGTGTCAAAGGTGCATTCTCTCTAGTGTCCACCAGGGGGCGACTCCTCTGGTTGTAT